GAGACGGCAGTCTCGCTCTGTCCACCCAGGCTGGAGTGCAGTGGCCGGATCTCAGCTCACTGCAAGCTCCGCCTCCCGGTTTACGCCATTTCTTCTTGCCGTCAGCTCCCGAGTACTGGGACTACAGGCACCCCGCCACCTCTGGCCCGGCTAGTTTTTTGTATTTTTAGTAGAGACGGGGTTTCACCGTGTTAGCCAGGATGTCCTTCGATCTCCTGACCCCTCGTGAATCCGCGCCGGTTTCTCCAGCCTCCCAAAGTGCTGGGATTCACAGGCTTCCTGAAAGTACCCTCGCCCCGGGCTTATTTAAGCCGCTGGTTTGAGATTTTTTACTTTTTTCTAAATGTGTAATTTCTTTATACGTATAATCGTGTCCGTTGTGGGACAGTGATAAATGGTTTGTTTTCTCACAAGTATGGTCTTCATGACAGTCCACACAACGATCAAGGAAGCTCCTGAAACAGGAACTAGGATGGGGTTTTGACTCATCTGAAGTCCGTGGAAGGGGACAGAACCGCGAAAACAGGACTGGCTACAACTGCACCCCGGAATCATGTTCACTGCCAATTAACAGCATTTGCAATATTTCTGGGAAAATCCATAGCCATTTATTTGTTCTCAAATGCACCAAATGTAATTTACATCATTTTTTCCTCTTCATTTAATATTTATTCGGAACATTTTTCATGTCAGTTTCATTTGAATCAATAATTCATCATATTTTTTGTGATGAATGATTACCAGCCAAGCAGAAGAAACCAGGAGATTTAATGGAGTTTTTACTGAAGAAAGAAAAAGTAACAGACAACTAATGATTCAAAGAAAATGTCAGATTTGCTTAGTCCTTGTACTCTGTTAACGTGTTTTAAAAGGGACATGCTAAAAAGATAATTACATATTTTAGCTTAGTACAAAAAGCCTTGGAGAGAGATATTAAAAAAGAAGCTAAAAATTCAGTAAAGCTACCAAAAGTTTAAACTAACAGGCCACTCCTGTGTCAAATTAGGCACCCTGTGCATACTGGTTAGCATAAATGCCAAACCACACATTTCTTTCTTAACCAACTCAGGCGGAAACTATAATATACAAAACAGACCCCAAACATGATAAGAAAATAAGGTCTGTAGCAACTTCCTACTGCATCTCTACCTTAAATAAATAAAAAAAATTATATTCAACGTACAGTATTCTCATTCATTCTGGTGGGAATATTTATTTAGTGTGGGGCATTCAGGAAAGAGGGAGAATAGAAAAGTACATACAGTTCCCAGGCCGGGTTGCGGTGGCTCATGCCTTGTTAATCCCAGCAACTTTGGAGGCCGAGGCAGTGGCAGATCACTTGAGTCAGGGCGTTTCGCAGACCAGCCTGCCAACATGGGGAAACCCCCTCTCCTACTAAAAATCGAAAAATCAGCTGGGTGGTCAGCGTGTGGCCTTGTATTCCCCAGCATATTCAGGAGGCCCTAGGCAGGAGAGTCGCTAGGAACCCAGGAGACAGAGGGTTGCAGTGCAGCTGAGATTCGACTCTAGCCCTGGGCAACTGAGCGAAAACTCCATCTCAAAAAAAAAAAAAAAAAAAAAAGACAAGTACACACAAAAATTTTTAGCTCTCACATTTCTTCATATATTTAGGCATTTTCTCCCAGGGTGCTATCTTTTGGTTTCCTAGAAGGACCGTGACTCAAAGTTGATGTTTACCATTTCAAGGGGCTTAGCGCCGTCCCTATGCCAGTCTAAACAGAAAATCTATCAGTAAATAATAGAGGACAAAGAGATATTTTCTTACAAAACTTCGTTCAAAAAAAAAAAACAAAACCAAAAAACAAAAAACAGGTAAATAAAATTCACACAGTTTTTGTATTTTTTTAAAAATGGAATGAACAAAGAAGTGAATGATACAAGGCAATAACAATTTATAAATGAAAACATGAAAAGTACTCAAATTTGCTGGTCATAAAAGAATTATTAAATTGTCAGGGGAGAAAAACCAAACTTGCAAATGTCATGCATTGGCATGATTATACATTGCGGGTGGCAGTGTCAATTGATGCTGTGATGCTTTTCGAAGATAATTTCGTAGCACATTTCAGGTGCCACAGATTTTTTCATATCTTTTCACTTAAGATAAATTTCTAAAAGTTGAATGATTTAGGAATTAAGCCCTCCAAATGGGAAAGGCTTTGTATAGATGTTCATTGTAGTATCACTCAAAATACTAGAAATAAGTAATATATTCAACAGTACAGGAATACGTAAGTATATTCTGATTTTTCAGCATATTGAAATATTGTATTAGACAAAATGGTCTAAATTATAAAATGAATTATAAAATATTTTACCTTGAATTATTAAAGAATAAATGGCAACTTAGAATAATGCTTATCATATAATGTATGAAAACAGAATTCAGAATTCTGTCTATGGTCAATATAACTCAAATTATGGGTTATTTACAGAAATATGAAATAAACATTGTCAAAGTTGTTGACATTAAAGTAATTTAAAACAATTTTTGTTTCTGCAACAAAATTGTTTCTAGGTTTATATTTAAAGTATTAAACACTTTTTTTTTCTTTTTCTTCCATGAATAATCACTAGCCAAAAACATTTTGGGATGCAAAGGGTTATAGCTAGACAAAGAAGCATATTGGCTCTGCAAGTCAGCTAGGAATATTTAAATACCAGGAAGGAGGGAAGGATAAATCATGAGTAGTCCTTTTTTATTTTTCCTGCTTCATGATGTCCATCCAGTTATCTGTTCCCATGTCACTGTTGTCTTTAAGAAGCAATATGCCACAATAGACTGACACAGGATTTAGGCCGGAAGGCTGGGTTCAAATTCTGACTCTCTTGTTTGTTAGATGTGTTACTGTTAGCAAACAATTTATCTTAGCTATTCTGATTTGTTAAAGAAGTGTTGGGAGGATTAGTTGGGATTATATATATATACACACACACACACACGCACATATATATATACACATACACACATACACATATAAAGTTTTTGCAATATAAAGCTTTATGTGAAAATTATTGCCATTTTAAATAAATTCATGAGTAAGTTGAAATAGGGAAAAAATGAGATATACTTTGGAGACTAAATTTAATGAGTATTTGGCATATTCCTAAAAGTTTTTTTTCCCCCCCTTTCTGTTACAGGGATCTTTTATTTAGTCAGATGTATGATAAATTAAGTGAGAATTCAGTGGCCAAAGGAGTATTTTTGGAATGCCTTGAGCCATATATTTTAAGTGATAAATTGGTGGGAATCACACCCCAAGTAATGAAAGACTTGATTGTTCATTTCCAAGATAAAAAATTAATGGAAAATGTGGAAGCTCTCATTGTACATATGGATATCACCAGCCTAGATATTCAGCAGGTGAGTTTATAGACAGTCTACTAACTTATGAAGTAAACTTCATTCCTTTATTGATTACATTTACTTCACTGATCAGGCCTGACCCTGCCTTCTAAAAACCATAATTATTTATTGAGCCCTTTTGTAAGATGTATTATAAACTTATATTTGTCAATGAGTAGAAGGCAGGGTATAAAAACAGGATCCTGGCTTTACTTGCAACTCAACAGCCATTCATAAGAGCTTCCCAGAATAAAATAATCATTTTTCCAAATAACCCCTCTTAATCTCTATGTGATTTTGCACACGTGCTTCACAAAAACTCTCCTCTCTAGCTCTAAGACATAATTGTTAGTTCTTCCTTATCTTCAAGAGGACTACAAGTATAGGGGAGCACGTTTTTTACTTCCTTTTTTCTCTATATCGTTTCTCTACGTTAGCTTTTCTTTTTGTTTTCTCGGGGCGTGAGCACCTTTTGCAGGAGTAACATGCTCATTACTAGGACTAATGTGAATTAAAGAATTAAAATTGTGGGCCAGGCTCAGTGGCTTCACACCTGTAACTTCAGCACTTTGGAGGCCATGGAGGCGAATCACTTCGAGTCAAAAGTTTGAGACCAGCCTGGCCAACATGGTGAAACCCCATCTCTACTAA